AAAAAAATTATCTTTTAAAATGTGGTTTCTTTCTTTTGGTAGAGAAGTTACATAATGAGTTGTTTTTCATGAAGTTACTGCATGTGTAGCACTCTTAAGTTGACATCTAGCTTCTCAATGAGGTTCCAAGTGGAAACAGCAATACATAACACTTTGTCTCTGGAATTTTTAGTTTTTTGCCTAATAGTGTAAAAAGCTTTGAGAGAACTGGGATGTTCTTAGTTGACAGACAGAAGAGCCGCCATGGACACGGCAGCTGCTGCATAGGTGACTGAGCAACAACAAAGCTGTTAAAGAATAAACTCAGGGTCCTGACCTCTTTCCTCTGTCCCCTAGTTCCAGCCTCCCGCAGCTCTCCCCTAGAGCCTAAGTGGATGGGGGTCAGTCCCTTCAACACAGCACTCATACTTCAGAGCCCTCTGTGCTGTCTCTCCAGGGGAAAGGCTCCTTGCTCCAGTGGAACCACTTGCGGGGAGGCCACACTGCTCCAGCAGCCCCATCTAGGCCCCGTTTCATGCCACTGCAATAACTGGTTTCCTCACCTGCCCCAAAGAGACTGAGCCCTGTGAACCCAGGGTACATCACCTCATCTGTCCAGGCCTATGCACTGCCTGGCAGACTGAAGGTGCTCAACGAACATCTGTCTGTGCCACGACTGACTACAAGAACAAAAAGCCTTTGAAAGAAGCACAGAAGATTGTGAAAAAGTACTAAGTCACTAGTTTTAATTCCTTATTGCCATAAATGCAATAAGAATTTTTTTTTGAAGTTTAGGTTCAGGTAATTGACTTGAAATGTCCAAAGACATACAGCAAGCTCTAAAACTGCATCATTACACTCTCAGACCATGGTTCTTCAAGAGTAGCAGGAGTGGAATCCAGTACACTGTTCTGGTATGCCAAATACTAAGTGCAAACTGAACATTGCCCTTGACTGCTCACACTGGCGTTAAAACACTGTCACTGGAATTCATCAGAAGCCAATAAGGAGCATACTCAGCATTCCTGGTGTCTGGCACATCTCTGTGGTATCCCAAGCGGTTACTAATAAGCATATTAAAGGCATGTTTCTGGTAGCCCAGGTCTCTCAATTCCTGATCACGTTCATTGAAAATCATACCTGAAAGAGAGTGAAATTACAGTCAGTGCCTTAGGTCTGGAAAGATGATCTCAATGGCCACTATGATGTGATGGTCTCCTGAAGCCTTGACTTCACCACTGTAGTCAGATTCTATCACTGTAGTTTTCAATTGGCTGTCTGCAGTTGTAGGTTTCAAATGAGTAAGCTGGGGCTGACGTCAGAGTCTCATCAATTCAGTGCAGACCAAGTGTGCCCTAACCGTGTTCAAAACCATTATTTTTAAGACTATTTTGTTATGTGTTGGCACATACCTTTAATACCAGCACTAGGGAGACAAGAGGCAGGCAGATTTCTGTCCTAGACTACATAGTGAGTTCCAGGCCAGCTAGAGATACACTGTTTCAAAAAACAAAAAACAAACAAACAAAAACCACAAATAAATGAACTAACAAACCCCCCACATTTTATTACACTCACAAGACAAATTATTTGTGACCAGAGAAAAAATACTGATACTGTTCCATAAAGGAAATCAATTATTAAATCCGAAAGGACTTCAGCAGGCCCCAGTCTCATCAAGTTTTTACAGGAACCCATGCCCCACAAAAATTTACACATAAGCTTTTGTATAAAAAGGGCTCCTATAAGCTTTGGATTCCGACTTTAAATGACTTCCCTCACAGCAGCCCCTGCTCGGCTCTAACTAGAACCATGTAACTTTGGGAACAATAGGACATTTCTAATCCTGAACAACACACGGTTTAAAGAGCACAGACCTGATTACTTACCCAGCTCGGAGGAAGATTTTGAGAGGCCATTATCTTCGATGTGGTTATTCATCAAATCGTCCATTCTGTTTGCTTTAAACTGCGGATCTAATACTCGACCTGGACTTCGAGTAAAACGTGGGTAGAATTTTTTGGGAAATGGTCCATGGGGGCCAGACCCCTTGATGGGCACATTCTTAAGGGGCTGAGTCACTTCACTGAAGTTGAAATAAATGAAAAGCAGAACTGTCCAGGTAGCAGATGTAAAGAGGCACCCGTAACAGAAATACCGAACTGTGACACTTCCCATTATAGACCTAGCATAGCTCAAGGGCCATTTTCAAAGTCCTAAAAAAGAAAGATAGGCATGTTAGACCCCGGAACACTCCTCAGTCAGCTACTGAACACTCACTGATTTCCAAACCGCCCAACCTACCCATTGTCCCCACTGTGTCAACACTCGGCAAAACAAAGCACTGAAAGAGCCGACACGTCCAGCCGCCTGTTAATGAACACTGCTTCACCTTTGCTCTGGGCTGCGCTCAGCGTGGCCACCGTCTTCAAGCTTTAACTCTGCAGGACCAGGATCAAGTGCTGCAGCACGTCCCATCACAGGACATGGAAAGTCCCTTCCACACAGTCACGAGCGGAGGCTCATAATTATAATCTCAGCACTTGGGAGGAGAAGGCAAGATGGCCATCTGAGTTCATGGCCAGCCTGTGCTACACAGTGAATTCCAAGCCTGGCCTATAAAGTGAGACCTTGGCTCAAAAACAAAAACAAACAGTGCCCTCCCCTACACCCCTGGGTAAAAAAGCTAGCCAACAAAAAACTCATAACCAACTCAAAAAAGAAAGTCCAACTTTCTAATCTAAGAGTCTACTCTATCCCACAACCCACTCTAGTTCTAACAGTATTGTCAAATAAAGGGTTTCAATAATTGTTCTGTCTCTTTATCATGTAAAAACAAAGTCAGAACAAAATATCATATCAAGTAGCAGCACATATAAACATTCCAGGTGAACTGAGGACAAGGAAACACTACCTAAGAAACCCATGTATATTGGTATCTGCACAAAGATACAACTTATAAATCACTTATTTCTACAGCCAATTAAAAATCATCCCTAAAAAACAAGACAAAGCAAATTAATTAGTAAACCTCACTTTAAACATTAAGCTTTTTGAACAACATTGTGCCCTCAGCCTAGATGGTAAACAGCTATTTTTAAATTATTTGCTAACTAACTACTCGATATTTCACAAGTCAACTTAAAAAACAAAAGTAATTAAAGCAAAACTAAAATGGTAATGCGGATAAACGAGGGTAGTGACTGCAGTGGGCACAGGGCACCAGTGAGCTGCCCTGTCAGCTGGAAGCACCTTTTACACTAAATACATACCGAAAAATGCAAGTGCAAGGAAATGCTCAGGAAGAAAGGATCCAGAGCCTTTATCAGGAAAACAAGGCACAAATTTGCAACAACATGGGAAGACAGAGTAGTGACCTTTAAGGCAAATTCTGAGTTTCAACCAAGAAATATATTTTAACTGCCTGATATCTTGGCTTAGGAGCAGGCAACTAACAAGCAAACAGCAATAAAAAACAAAAGCACAGCGTGTTCGGAGGACCATGGGATGCTGACGTCAGGCCATAAGCATGCGGCTTTGATGGTCACCAACTATGTAGCAAGACTAACATTTGAAGATGGTCCTCCTCCAGCCACTCCGGCCTCCCTACCTCCACTGTGGACTCCTTAACACAGGAGGAAGCCTTCAAAGATGACATGAACGACAGCCAAGCCCTTCCCAGTCCCAGGATACAACAGCTGTGCCAGCAAACTCTACCACAGGTGGACACTGCCATCTGCATCTCTTCAGCCTGATTGTCACCATCTTGGCCAAGTCTAGAACCCTCCAAAGCCAAGATTCAAAGGGGTAGGAAGAGAGCTGTTGTAAAGATCTGGGTTTACCACAGGTGTGGCAGCACACTTTCAGTCCTAGGCTAGGAAGGGTGGGCCTGTGGATCCCTGTGTCTTGCTGGCCAGTCAGCCTAGCACACTTGGTCACGTTCTAGGCCAATGAGACACTCGAAAAATCACCTGGGAACTATTTTTCTAAGAGCTTCACAGTAAAAGTACCATAGACAATCCAGATTTCCTGGCCTCCAGAGCTATGCCGTGCATCTCTACTTTCTAGGCAACACTATACAGACTATCAATAAGAAACTCAAACCTCCATTGCTGCAGAAAGAATTCAGAAGGCTAGCACTAAGTCTGAGGACTTGAGTTTGGTCCAGAGTGCCTATATAAAAGACCAGAAACTGTGGCAAGCTTTGAGCTTCCTTCCTTCCTTCCTTCCTTTCTTCCTTCCTTCCTTCCTTCCTTCCTTCCTTCCTTCCTTCCTTCCTTCCTTCCTTCCTTCCTTCCTTCCGTCCATTTAGATTTGTTTCAGTTTATGAGTATTTTGCCTCCATGTATCTATGTGCACCACATGCATGTCTGGTATCCATGAGGGCCCAAAGAGGGCATCAGACCCCTGGAACTGGAATAAGGGAATGGTTGTGAACTATCATGTGGATGTGAAAATCAAACCTGGGTCCTCTGTAAGGGCAACAAATGAGTGTGGCATGCTTTGTAATCCCAATGCTGAGAAGTTGAAGGCAGATGGATCCCTGAGACCTGCTAGCCAGCCAGCCTAGTTGTTGAAGCCCCAGTAAGAACCTGTCTTTAAAAATAAAACAAAACAAAACAGGAAACTGGAAGGATGGTTCAGTGGTTGAAAGCACTAGCTGTTCTTTCAGAGGACCTGGGTTCGATTTCCAGCAACCACATGGCAGCTCACAACCGTCTGTAACTCTGCCTCCAGGGGATCTGACACCTTCACAAAGACATACAGGCAGGCAAACCACCAATGCACAGAAAATAAAAATAAATAAATCATTAAAAAAAAAAGCGCCCCCCACTCCCACCCTACCGCCTTTCAACATCAATTAGTGCTGCCCAAATATTCTTGGATGTGTGGCCTTCCACTGGAACACAATTGACTTACAGGGGTACACTCTTAGAGAAAACTGACTCTTCCTCTCCCGGCAGCTAACAACTGGCAATGGTACCTCAGCTAGGGTAGAATCTCGTGCCCACCTCCTCTTTCCATGCTGGCTTTGGTGTGGCTTGGACTTGACAGGTCTTGTGCATGCTGTCCTAACCACTGCAAGCGCATGCGTGCAGCCGCCCTGGCGTGTCAGGAAGACACTGCTTCCTATGGTCGTCCACTCCCTTTGGCTCTTCAATTCTTCCGCCTCCCTCTTTCCACGATTCCTGGGCTCTGGGGTGGGGTGTGATATATACATTCCCTTTAAAGCTAACCATTCTGTAGTATTTCATTCTTTGCACCTTGGCCAGTTGTTGAGTATCTATGTTGTCACTTATTGCAAACAGAAGCTTCTCTGGCGAGGGGGTTAAGAAGTTCCTTAACCTATGGGTGTAACAGTAAGTCATTAGGAGTCAGTTTATTGTGTCTGCTGAGCAAAGTAATAGTAGTAGGTTCTCTCGAGGGCCTCCATCCCTGCCATAGGCTCTCAGCCAACAATGGGCCTCAAATCCAATCAGAAAGCGGTTGGCTGCCCCACGATGTTTATGTGACTACTGTAACACTGGGTATGTCTTGCCAGTCACTCATGACTGTAACTGGAAGAGTCCACAGATGTTATGTCTGGTGCTTACTTTTCATTTCCAGGAGCACATAAAGAAGCTTCAGAACTTTTACGAAAGCTAGCCAGTAGGGATAAAGTTTCCAGGTCAGTACCAGCTGATTTTCCCATGTTCTTTGACTCAAGTATGTAATGTCTTGAGTAATAGGTTATCACTCAAGTTCAGGAAGGTAACCAGGAACAATGACAATAACCTGTAATGTTTGGAGGTCTTTGGAACCTCCAATTTCAAAAGAAGAAAAACATTTCTGACAATGGGGTTCTTATTAGCCTCTAGCAGGTTTCTAATATTGTTGCCACTAAAGGATAACTCCATTTTAGTCCTTTTTATTTATGTATACAGATGTATTTTTTGTTTGTTTGTATATCTGTCTGTATGAAACAGGGTTTTCTACATAGCCTTGCCTGTCTTGGAACTCACTATGTAGATCAGGCTGATCTCACAGAAATCCACTGCCTCTGGTGCATGCCACTATGGGTATAGATGTATTTTAGAAAATTTCTATAGTTGTGGGTTCCATATGGCTTTTTGAGGCAGGGGGAACGGTCTGTGAATTCAAATGCAATGGGCCAGTTCTTAAAAGAGCACTGGTTCTGGAAAATCAGGCAGCCTAGATGGCTTACAGTCCTTTTAAATGTTCAACCTTCGTAAAAACATTTCTAGGTGGTTACCAAACCTTTGAAGAAACTGGCCTTAGTGTGATGTGGCTGCCTTCAAAGAACAAGAAATAAGAAACATTCGTCACTTCCCTTTCAGAGGCTTTTAACACCCTAATTCCTAAACCAGGGCAGTTGACACTGGTTTTACCCTAGATACAGATGCACATGGGTCAGAAAGTCCACCAGTCACACTCTTAAGGACTGTGCGCTGGCTTTTCCCTGTCTAGAATACTTTTCCTTGGGTGGTTTCATAGCTGCCTCCTTTACCTGTTTACTCCCATTCAGATATGGCCTTCTCAATAAGGTCCTATACCTAAAGCACCTACCTTACAGTGCAATTCAGACACTAGGTAGTAAAGCCGGTCTCTCTCCATACAGACACATGGCTTATCACTCTCAGCTCCTCTAGACTGGAAGCTGAGAAACATCACATCAAGAGCCTTTTGGTCTGTTTGATTCCTTGCAGTATTTTCTGAGTAGTGTTTGGTATACAGCAAAGATATAATAAATATTTGTTGAAATGAATGAAAGACTGTGTAAGTCTTTAATAACTATCAGTATGCTTGCCAAAATGCTAGGAATTTCTAAACATATCACTACTAACTTGTTTGGGTCAAGCAATACCATAATGATCTGTCTACATGAAGATCATGACCACCTTATTAACAACAGTAAGAAAATGATGCTGGAACAGCAGTCATATTTATTACTGGCAAAGTATAAACTCAAGGAATTTGCCCAATCTTTAATATTAAATAACAGTCCGTGGTGAAAACAGGAAAATCCTTTCCATTTTTCCAACCATGCACGGTTGCCTGCAAACATCTAAGTGTAAAATGAAAAGGTTTTCTATCCAAAGAGCCCACCCATAGGGCTTGTCCAACTCTGTCTAGAGTCCTCACAGACTACTCCCCCCATCATAGCTACATCAGCCCAACGTAAAGACAATAAATGTCCTAATTCTTAACAACTCTATTAAGTAGCTATTATTTTCCTTAGCAATGTTTTAATTGAGAACATGTTTTAGGTGGCAAATCACTGTACATGACAGACACTTATAAAATCAATCATTTCTATAATTAGCCATATCAGCACTTGGAAGCAACAGAGATACATTTTTCTGACAGATCAACAACCAAAAATGAAAAGGTACATAGCAATCATATACCTGCTAGTTAGACATTAATGCGACCAAACAAAAATCAAAACCTGAAATTCTAATCTCATCTATTCTGACAAATGACAAGCCCAGCCTACACATACTAGTCTTTGCTTTGTATCTTTGTTATGTCTTCTACTGGCAACTACCCCTGGCATCAGCGTCCAAGGCTGAACATATTTAAAAGGAAGGCCAAAGCAAATATGTAAGGTCAATTAATGCCAAGCCAAACAACAGAGACAAACTTTTCAGTCAGAAACGTAAATGCTTACAAAAGCCCCAACAGTCACTCGTGGATGTCAGTGTTGAATGACTGACAGGCTACCCTGTGAAACACATCAGTTTGGCCTTGTTTTTCTTTCATGGGTGTGGTAGCTGCTCTCCGACAGGAGAGGAGGAGGTGGGCAAAGTACACACAGCATGGCGACTGCAGTGGAGAGAGACCACAAGCTCAAGTCAGACAGAGAGGTGTGAGGAGAGGAAGACTAGGATACAAATGTGAACAGGCTGGTGGGTAAGGGTCCTGAGTGGCTGTTACCCGAGAGAGTGCACTGAATAAAGAAGCTGGGAAACGAAACCCCAGCACCTGCAAACTGAATGGTAATTCCAGATCTCTGAAATGAAGACATCTCAATAAACAATGTATCCACAGTATAAGCAAGGTTGTTACAACGACCTCACCCAGAGACCCTCACCCTCGGAGCCATAAGTAAGACCCCACAACACAGGGATCCTTCCATCTTCTCAAACCCAAATGTTGATCAGTGCCTTGTGTTAACAATTAATAACTGCTTGTTTAGATACTTTTTCAAAGTATATTTCTGTTGAAAAAGCTATGGGACATTTAGATTCTGAGCAATGTGAAATCTTTGACACCAGCAGAGTGTGAGCATAGTACACGTGGGGTAACGAAAATAAATATTTACTGAGAAGGCGTTCGGGCTTCAGTTTGGATCCTTGGCGGTGTGCAGGCTGTGCTCCTACACAACTGTGATCTCAGCACCAGGGGAAGCAGAGAAAGGCAGACAGCCCCCGGACCTCACTGCTGCCTAGCCTAACCAATCAGAGAGCTCCAGGGACAGTGAGATGGAGAGCAATTAAAAATGACACCAAACGGCCTCCATATGCACGCACACGCGCACACACACACACACACACACACACACACACACACACACACACACACAGAGTAAAAATACTGAAAGGAAATTTTTTAAATAAACCATTTTTACAGTTCTAACCAAATTTGGAAAGCCTGTGATGCTCAGATTGAACTATTAAGCTCAGCACCTCACCAAGCAACCCTTAAGCTGCACCTGCAACCCTAGAAGAGTAACTCCAAATGAAAATTCAATGTACTCTAACTGACCCAAGTTTTTAAAACAGATTCAAATACGCAAACCACTGTAGAAAAAAAAAAAAAATGAAGTCAAACGAGTTCCTCAGAATAAAACAAGACCCAAGCAGGAAAAATTAAAAGAACAACAACAACAAAACAAACAAACAAACAAGGAATGGTAAGCCACAAGCAGAACAACCGAGTTAGTCTCTAGCCTTTCTCATAAGCCATGGAGAAGAAAGGTCGCTTCCTATGATGAAAGGGAGAAAAGAGAACAGGCTGGGGACAGGCGAGGGCTGAGTAGGTAGACACCATCCTCCCAGGCCAAGACCGGCTTGGCATACTGTGGAATCTCAGAAACTAGAAAATGTATCTTAATAAAATGAAGGAAGCACTGGGGTAACAATGTAAGTATATATTCCTGAATCTGCC